CAGGCACACAGGAGCGTGGTAAGTTGCACATGTGGCAGAGATAGTAAGAAGTAGAACAATGAGACCCCCCTCCTCTTGACAAGACGGATGTCATCTCAGCAGAGGCACAAACTGGCCTGTGGGGAATAGCAGATCCCCCCGAGAACAGACATGGAGACGGAGCTGCGTCGGGTAAAGGGAGAGATAAGGATTGAGACAGGGTGAGAGAGTTTCCAGAGCGAGGGACGCATGGAAGTGAGGAAGTGGGGGGGTCTGAATGACTGTGGGACGTTCAGCCAGCCTTGTGTTGTCGCCCCTGGGGAGAGCAACTCCTCTGCCTGCCTCTTCTGATAACGAAACTGAGATGGCGGTTGCACCTCGGCAGCCTCTGTACACAAGTGCCCACAGGAGCAGCTGCCATTTTGGGCCAAAATCTTTTTAGAGATCAACCTGCCATAGAGACCCGAGCGTATAGGGACACCACATGACCCCCAGCGTCTTCAGGAAGACAGGATTGGACATTGAGGACTGGATATGAACTAAATGAAAAACAGGGAGAAAAACAGTTTTTGTCGACATACATGCACCAGCACATGAATACATTTATATTCTTTATATTATGTGGCTTTAGCTTTTTTTTTTACATTGAACACTGGCATCAGCCGTTAAGTGTATGTTTCATCATGCAATATTTGCCTTTATCCAGTTTTGCATCCGTCACATGTTATAATGTCTGGACGTTTGCCTGCTTAATTCTCACTTGGGCTCACAGGGTTACACTGATATCAGCAGTGTTGTGTGCGTTTTTTTGACGTTCCCTGTTATTGTCATGATTTAAAAGAATCAGGTAAACTGTTCCTTTCAAAGTAAAAGATAATACTAGATAAATACTTAACTAGTGCACCACAAAATAGATAATATTCATGTGTTGCTTTATATTTTAACAAAAATATCAGAGGAGAAACGAGAATCTCTGACACTCAGCCCTAGCTCGTACAAGTGTACTTCCTGTTTTTCATTTTGTGCCAGCTTCTATCATCCTACTTCCTCATCCCTCACTTTTCGCTCTCATCATAGTGTCCCTTTGAAGTTTATTGACCATTATCTGTATCAGTGGCTGGAAGGTGGTGCTGCGGCGCTTCCATACAGGATCTTATCAGCAGATGTATGTCCGTGTGATGAGTGCCTATCAGCGGGCCTTCCGTGTGATTTCTTCCCGTGTGATGAGGCTTTGAAAACATCTGCTGTGCACTTCCCCTGCAGGATTGGAGAGGCTTCCATCACCTCTTCTACACGACTTGAAGAAAATCATTGTGCAATTGTGTGTGTGCGCCTTTGTGTGTATGTTGCAGATGAATGTATGAGTGCAAAAGCCATTTCAGTCTGCTGTCAACATTCATCATTGATATCTTCCCCTTGAACACAGAGCCAGACCCAACACTACCCACAAATTGCCGCCGTACACTACTGTGTGTGCAGAGTGTGTGTTGAAGGGGTGGCGAAACAGTATCTGCCTGGGGGAACATGTGTGAGTCTTGGAAACAATTAAATCCCCTTAGTAAACATTGCTCATTAGCTGTGTCCAAACTCTTCATTGACATACAGATGGGTTTTGAATTGGGAAAGTTAGCGGGCAAATTCTGTGAGGTTTCTTTCACATGTACACAGCAGGAGATTGTGTGGGTCAACTGCATTAACAACAGGAAAAACTTGGGAGCATCTAGATGAGGCAGGACATGACAATTTCTCGAGTCTCATTATCTTTCTTTATCTATGTTACGTCTAAAACTATTATAATCTCTACACAACAAAAGGTCCCTGAAAGATCCCATCTTCCTTGTGACTTCTTGTTCCTAGAAGACATTTTCTAGAAAGATAAGGAAACACAAGCAGCAGCACACATCCGCCAGCATATTCAAGGTTCCTGGTCATATTTCTTTTTTCAATAATGTGCCAATTATTTAAACGTTTCCTACAAAGGAAGGCAGCTGAGTGCTAAAGTGTCAGATGAGGTCACTTCCATTCGAACGTAAAAGTTTGATATTGAACTCACTTGAATAAACTTCATCAGCTCAGATGCTTCCTGTTTCTCTGTCACAGAAGTTAGAGCCCACGTTTGTATTTTGTTGCAGAGGTGGATGCATCACGTCTGTATCAGAGCCTTGAGCTGATTATATGTGTGCACACCTGTTTTTGATGTGTCAGCCTGAGCCGTGATGTGATCTGGAGTTTGGAGGCAGGCACCGGTTTTATGCATAATTCAGCACACAAGGAAGGAAAGAATAGCAAACAGTAGCCTGCAGTTGTGTATGTGGAGAGCAGATTGGCACTGTGTTCTTGGTTTAGTGTGTGAGACTGAACTTCTCTCTGTGTTTCGGGCGGCGGAGGCTTTGAGAGAGAAGAGTGCGTCCGTTCAAACGTCCCTTTCAATCTTAACTGTGACCTCACTCCCTGCCTGTGTTCTCTTTTCTCCATTTCTTTTCTCCTTAACAACCTTCCTGTCTCACTCGTACAATTTATACTTACTGTTTTCTCTTTATGTTCCGTGAAGGTAATTTCTTTATTTTCCAAAGAGCTTGACTGCAATATTACCTCCTTAATTGTATAATAATTCATGACTGTACATGTTCATTGATAAGAATTGTATCGTCTTCTTTTTATATCTTTACTGCTGCTCTACCTGCTGTGTTTGTATCTGTACATTATGTTGCCTTCACATTATGTGGGAATATTCACTACAATGCCTCAAAAAAAAGTGTTTACTTTCAAAATACCACTACATACTTTGAATGTCCATGATATGTATTTAAGTGTTTCATATTGAATATACATGAAATTAGTATTATTTATGTCAACAGAAATTTTACAGTGTCACCATAAACAAAGCAGTTGTCTCCAGGGAATTTCACAATTTCATTAGTTTTACTTTTTTATTTCTTTTTTAAAGTTTCATCTAATAATGCCAGTTAGTTTAAATTTGTAATCTCATTTAAATATATATATATATATATTCAATTATTTCATTTCCATCCATGGGAAATAATGTCAAATATGAATCAAAACACGCACCAAAATATCTGTGTATCCTGTGAAACTTCATCATGTGGGATTTAATTCATTTAGATCATCATAACCCTACATTTCTTATTTTATTATCATAATGAATATATGTAAATGATAGAAATAACACAATCACTTCTTATTGAATTATTTAAATCCATATTTGAATATAAATCTAATGTTAAATTTTAGGTTAGTGTTTTCCACATTCCGAGTATACGAATATAAGTCTTAATGAACTCAGACATTATGACATTGACTTACATTCATTTCCTGGAGTCTTATTCTTCCCTTAACTAGAACTTGACTTACCCTAGACCTTATTCTTAGTTTAACCTATATCCTGTTGATCTTTTTAGGTTATGCAGACTCATTTTTTCCTCATAAGTCCCCATAACTCTGCTGCAGAAACAGATATAGGTCCCCACAACATGAGGAATACCTGCACAACACACACACCTTTGTTACATAGCCATCTTTCCTCTATAATACAAAAAGTCACAGAAGTCTTCATGAATAATTTATAATACCTGTGTTTTCATAGACATCAAAAACCGTCAGATGGAGATGGACAGTGAGAGAAACAGACAATGTGTGTGTGTGTGTATTGAGTGTGTCTTTGATCGCTTGCCCAAAATGACTGTATTATCCTGCTGTTTGAGAGGTGGACTGAAGGAGCTGCACAGATGCTGTGCACGTGCGTGTGTGTGCACGTGCGTGTGTGTATTTGAGAGACATTATTTTGGTTAAATGTGAGTGACAGACAGAACATATTCATCAGTGTCCTTGTTTTCATCGAGGAACCAGATGAATTGATGCTAAAAGGTCAGAGAAGAGAAGAGCAGGAAGTGCGGGGAGAGTATGAAAGAGGAGTCGTCAGGGTGACTGACGGGAGAAGGAGAGAATAAAACCAAATGAGAAACCGGAACAGAATGTGCACATGAAGACACAGGAAGTCTCTTGAAGACACCCCTACACCCACATGCCGCTAACCTTAATGGCCTCAGTGGCACCGCTCCTCACAAACGTAAAAGCCTTTTGAATAACCCCTTAATTTTTCTCAGTATTTTTGACTGACAATCCATTTAGCTACATCGTTAAACATGGAATAATTAGCACTCGAGCAGGAGTGGGTGGTGCTCGCTGATTATCATATGTGCTGCCTGTCGTTTGTTGACAGACCAACAAAGAACCGGTCGTCCTCCAGTTATGAAATTGTTTGTGGCGAGCGAGCGCCATTACGCAGAATCTCATTTGGAAAAGCTCTGTGCTGATAATTCGTCCTTTCTTTTCTGTCGTGATCAATAAGAGGTGGACGATCTGTCAGGATAAGTCTCAACAGCGCTCCCCCGATCCGGGGGAGAGAGAGAGAAACAGGGAGTTCAGTTGAAGAACATCTCCATCTGTTAGTCTAGTTAGTGTCGATGCAGACCTGTCAGTCAATCCATATCTGTATCGATCCATTGTCCGTCCCAGTGTAACGACCCAGGCTCAGTTCGATGCAAAGGGACATTCGCCGAGTTTGTCCATCAGTGGGGAATTTAATTACGAGTTCTCTGACACTTCGGTTTCAATTAATCCATTACCTCTGTATCCTACTTTCCTTTGTCTTCTTCCTCTCGTCTCTGTATATCCATATTCCACTTGTCCATCTGTCCTTATCTGCACTCAAATTTCTTTGGCTTGCTCACTTCACATCACAGTCTGAAATATGCTGTATTTATATCATTGCTGTCTGTTCTCTGGCAAAATCCCCCTTATATGAGACTTCATCACTTAGGATTCCTCTCTTGACCTTTGCTTGCGCAGTCAAACTCTGTTTAAAGACTGGAAATACCGAGTTGAGATGACTTCTGGTGTCCTTGAGGAAACGCCTGACGCTGTAGTATTTGCATTGGATGAGAGTTTGGAATCCCCAAACTAATTTCTCCTCTTCTTCCCCTCTTCCTCTTTCTCTGCAGCGCCATCTCTGATCAGCGAGCTGCGAGCAGAGAAGATCGAACAGAAGAGCATAACTTTGGTGTGGAGGGAGCCGTCCTACCCGAACAGCAGCCGCACCGAGTACGAGGTCAAGTACTACGAGAAGGTAAATTGCACACACTCAGATCAATCCATTATCTTTAACACTGATCCTTTTAAGGGTCGCAGGGACTGGAGCCAATCCCATCTAACATTGAGCGTGAGGCAGCATCCCCCCTGGAAAGGTTGCCAGCCTATCGCAGACACAATATGAGACAAACCACCGTTCATAACACCTATGGTTAAATTTAGAGTCTCCAATTAATCTAACTTCATCTGTGTGTCTTTGGACTGTGGGGGAGGAAGCCGGAGAAAGAAAACACGCTGACACAGGGAGAACATGCAAACTCCATAAAGAAAGATCCTGGCAGAACCTGGGATTCGAACCAAGAGACTGATTATTGTGAGGCAATAATGCTAATGACTGCACTACTGTGCCACCAAAATGTCCAAAAACTCGAAACGAGATTAAAAATGTCTAGATCTTTGTCTGAGAATGAAACAAAATATAATGGTGTCTTTCTTGACTTCAGTTAAATCTGTCTTATTGTCTGTAGTCTCACGTTTTTATAAAATCAGCTACGAGTTGAAAATCCTCTAGTATTCTGTTGACGTTCAGTCTCCATCATAATGCTCCTCATCTTTTTCTTTTTTTATGGATAACTGTTCTAATTCCGTCGGCCTGATTACGATCATTTAACATTGCACTTAGTCAGATTGTGTCAGATTGTGTCCGCCCCGTCAACAGTCCTAGTCTTCACAGTAAATCTGTCATGCACGTAAACCACAGCTGTCAGGCTTCTCCATTTACATACGTTGCATTTTCTGGCAACATTTTTGTATTTGGCTGCGATGCATTCGCGCCCATTTTCACACCTCCCTCTCCTCTCTACGCTGCACCATATTTAACAAACCCCTGCTCCTTACCGCTCCACTCACACTTCTTTACTAAAAGAAATGGATTTAGAGGGAGGTTTGGGCGAGGAAAAACTTGAGAAAAGAGAAAAGATAACAGGAGGTGAAAGAATGAGACGGCGGTGTGATAACAGAGTGAGATAAAAGGTTAGAGAGGGTATTAGGGACAGCTGTGGGGAAGATGACTCGGTGATAAGACGCTTGTAAGAGCACCGTGATGGAAATAAATGAATGGAGCTGCTTTGTGAGACTAGGTGGGGAAGAACAGTGGGAGAGAGGGAGGTGAATGGAGAAAGTGCGAGGGATGGATGGAGAATAACTGAGACCGAGATGAGCAAGTTGTAGAAAAGCCATGAAATGAAAAGGCAATATAACGACACTCTTGCAGCCTATTACAGTATAAAATATGTTTTTGCACCGTCAGTGCACGGCCGTTTCTCTTCCTTCTGTTTTTATATAAGCTGCAGCTTCACGATGTGTCTCCACATGTTGAAGTTAATAAAGATCATTCGTTAATCATCCAATAACACTTCAACATATGAGGCATTTAATACGTGTTTAGTCAGGGTCGTCAGGACCAACACATTGTTGCTGATGATAATAACGACAAACAACACTTGTGATTAATTCACAGTTTATTCATAACGTGACATTAGAACATGTCGTCTGTTGTTTTACTCCCACCGATCTCCACGGTTCCTCCCCGTCCCTCTCTGTTCATCCTGACTGTGACGGTCTGAATCACAGGAGTCGGTCATCAGTTGCGGCCGTTTTATGACATATATTGCATTCTATGTTGCACTATGTTTTTTACTTCAAATGATGTCAAAAGCACAAGATGGCAGCAGCCATCTTTATACACAGTCTGATGCTGTCATGCTAATTTAACCTGAGTGGGATATGAATGTAGGCGCCTTATTTCGAATGATTAGACTTCTGCTTTTCTTCCTGTCTGGGTTTCTCATTATTTATTCCCTAAGCAGATTGACACGAATGTATTGAAAGCAGGTGAAAAGAACTCCTCAACTTTGAAACTTCGTCTGACTCCTTCAAAATGCGTCAGACTCTTTGAAACACTCGATAAATGAAACATTACCAAAGCCCTTGATTTGGTTACAGGCTTGTGTCACACGTCCTCCAGCTTAACAATCTGTGCCTTGGGAATGAACAAGGCATCTCTCACAAATGGATTCCACCTACTCGTCTCACTTCTGCTTCTCTCTGTGTTCTCTCTGTCTGCCGTGTCGCTTTCTGTCTGCGCAGGAACAAAAGGATCAGAGTTATTCCACCATGAAGACGGCCGCCACACGGATCAGTGTCAACAACCTCAAACCTGGCACCACATACGTCTTCCTCATCCGCCCTCTGTCCACGCCAGCCTCCTCCTCCTCCTCATCGTCCCTGTCCTCCTCCCCGCTGTCGTCATCTTCATCCTCAGCCTCCTCTTCCTCTACTTCCTCCTCTTCTTCGTCATCATCATCCTCCTCGTCTTCCTCCTCCTCCCCGCCACCCATCGACTACGGGGCGTACAGCGCTCCCCTGGAGCTGCAGACACTTGGCGAGTGTAAGTACCCGTTTTACGCCTCCTCCCCCGTTCTCTTCTTTCTCCTCGCTCCCTCCTCTCGCCACCGCCAAGCCAGATTGGGATGTGGGGTTTGTGTAGGCACCTGGCCAGCCCACACAATGAGGTGTGCTGCGAGTGTGAGCGAGATGGTGGGGGGTGGAATTTGACTGTGTCTGAGACTATGTGAAGATTGAAGATTTTAGCAGTAAGCTGTGAAACGGCTCCTCTTTGTGCAAGTTGATATAGTGTCGCCTGTGCCAGCTCACGTCTCAGTCTGGCTTTGTGTGTCTGTGTGCGTTTCAAACCTTGTACTTGTCATGAGGTCTTAGTTTTGAACCTTTCATTCACACAAGAAAGGAATTTGTTTTATGTAGTCATAACGCACAGGGCTGCTTCAACATTTAGTTTGACTCACTGTCCTCCTCAGTTGGTCAAAGAGCAGCTGAAAGAGACTTTTATTTATTATTCAGCGGTCGGGGTTGTGCTTTTCTTTTGTGCTGCTTTAAGGTGAAAGGACACAAGTGCACATTGACTTTATTTCGGATGAGATAGATGTTTATTTTCTTTAAATATATATTTAATTATAGTGATTTTTTTTGTTATTATGTTTTGGGCATTTCAGTGTTGTATTATTTCCATTTCTTTTTAATTCCTTTTCAATTTAGTGAAGCAGGAGGTTTGTAAATATTTCAAACAATCTAATATTTGTGGGTCGATTTGAGAATATTAATGATGGGGGGGGTTGTGCTTTACTGAAATAGGAAAATGTCAGTTTACCCTCTAACCAAACACCCATCAAATTAATTCGGCCTTTAAGGTCATTGCCTTGTTATTTGCTCTCATCTCCTGCTCTTGTTCACACTATGTCGTAATTGAATACACCACACATGCTCTGCGTGCCGGTGTGGTAAGATTGTGTGGATATGTTCCTGTGCCCCCAGTTCCTTTACCGTAAGATGTGTTTTTTTTCGTTCACGTGTGTAATAACACAGTTTTCTTCCTGTTACCAGTGGCGCTGGCGTCCAGCGAACAGAACCCAGTGGTGATCATTGTTGTCGTGTCTGTGGCTGCCCTCATCATGCTGCTCTCCATGGGAGTGGGACTGCTCATCTGGAGGAGGTAGATATGGATACACAGATGTAAACACACATGCATATACTGTATATATATATAATTCATTCACTTCTACCTGTAGCTCATTCTGTCAGTCCCAGATGTTAATACACAAACATGCACTGACATTTGCATGTACACGTCTAAATCACGTATTCATTGAACTGTGACGCGCTGCCCCCATTATAATTCAGTCTACTGTACTTCAGTGAAAGAAGGATTTCCTCTCTGAAAGAAATGTGCAGTGACGGCAAGAGAATGGTTGAAATTAGACGATCACCGTTCACTCTCATCATGGTTTAATCCGCAACATAAAGACGTCAGCTTGATAATGGTGCCGTCTGCGCTGAGAGGGAAATGTTGGCAGGGTCAATACCCGCTTCTGATCATTCTATTTTAGAGGGGAGTTCATACTTTTCCCCTGTCTAATTAGTTTTCACACAGAGACGTGGGAATTGTCAAACAGCAACTCGATGAGAGAGAGGTTAAAGCAGTGTCACTTGTGTGACAGCGGACACATGGTTTATTCATACCCAGAGTTTGCTTCAACGCTCTGGCTTGTAAAGAGTTCAGAAGTCGTTTATACTGAACAGTTCAACGTCATTATTAGACCAGATCTGAAGATGACTAAAGATAGCTAGTGGCAAACTTAGGTGAGCACAGTCACCGTCTGCCCTCGTTGTGTGATCTACTCTCTCTTTTGTGTGCTGCTCAGTCTTAAAAGAAGCGTATTTAAATTGTGTGTTTTTATGGCTTACTTGTAGATCAGTGCAGGCAGCGATCCAGAAAATATAGTAAAACATCATCTGGGTGATCGATACCTTGTGCCTGCATTGTATGAACCGTGATAATGAAGCTCTGTAACGTTCTGTGCCATTACATCATTGTCTTTGCCCCGCTCTTGCTGTCGCTCTCTCACACACATATGTACATATTCCCTCTGTCGCAGTCAGGCTGACCATCGTCACTACAGCGATAAGTCCCCAACACGTGGAAAACATCCATAAATTCTTAACCATCGTCAGCAGTCAGAACTTAGCATTAACCTCGTTACACACCTTCATGTGCAAACGTAAAAGTCTTTCCATTTATCAAAACAAGTTTTATTAGAAAATAAATAAATATAGAATATCTGCACCATCCATTCATTTTTTGACGTTTATGATTCTAGCACAGTTATGATACTGCTTCCCTCGTGTGTTTCAATGCATGTTTAACCGTCTTTTTTGTTGCACTGTCTATATGGTGCCACATCAACTGTATATCCTCGATGTTTTATTCAGCTGAGCAGATAAAAGGGGGGGTAGAGTGCATTTCTGCTTCCCGTTCCAACCACTTTGCTCTTTGACACCGGTCCAGCTCTATATTCTGCCAGCTCGCCTCACACACGCCCACACACACACACTCACACAATTCATACTGTACACTCCATCACACATGCAGGCAAATGAGTAGAGAGCACATATCTACTCCCACACAGTTAACACTCATACACACATTTCCAGAATCACATTTCATCTGGCTGGCATTCAATTGATATCCATCCAGGGAGATTTGCTATAGCACTGTGGAAACATTTGTTTGCATAGATTGTGTGCATTCTCACTCACTTTCCTCCACACACACACACACACACACACACACACACACACACACACACAGATCTACATCGGTGCACAGATAAAGTTATTTTCCACAGATACGACTACCTGTGTAAAGACGGGACTGTGATAGGGAGACCGACAGACCGGTTCCAGACATACACACAAAACAACACAATGACGTAGCAAATCAGGTGTAGAAATGACTTCGATTCATTCACTGCACCACCACACAAACTGGTGCTATCACTCACACCTGTAAAGGTGTACATGGGGATAAATGTACACAAACAAACCAACGCAACAGCGCTGCGGCAGAAAAACACAAAAAAGGTCATTACTCTCACTAGACACACAAGTATTTTAATACATTTTTGCTTTGAGGAAAATCAGCATCGTCCCCTCGTGTGCACCCTCATAGGGAATAATAACGCTTATCTTTCTCCCTTTATTTCCATCATTGCATTCATCGCAAGTGGTCTCCATTGTTCATCCCTGCTGGACCATTAACTTGCTCTTTATGTTTTGCATAGAGACAAAAGAGGGAATGGCTAGATGCCTCAATTACTATGCTCTCGTGTTTGACAGCCAGCTCCCGGCTACGGGGTCTCAGTGACATCGATCTGCCCGCTCTCACAGGCACATGCAAATGAGTCCCGCGGCACACACATGAAGGCACACATTTACATCTGTGGATACACACCGGGATGTTTTGCACGGCCCACTTGATCAGAAAATCTGGCCTCATTCATCACGTCTAATGTAAAGTCAGCAGTTCTGAAACATGGGTGTGCCTTGTTTTTCACACTTTTTAATATATTCTCTCCCGTCGCTCTAACACACAGAACTTTCTATGCATGATTAGCAGCACAGCAGCACTACGGTCCCATTAAACCAGATTTTTTGGTGGTCGCTCGGTTGCAGTTTCTTTTTTAGATTTCCTCCCTCAGTCAGTTCATCTCATCATTTTTCTCCTCTTACTTCTCTTGTATGATGGTTTTTATGTCTTTTTCCTGAGAGTTTCAGACGCATTGAACAAAATGAAAATAATTACTGAGTTAAAAAGAAAAGTTTTATCTCACATTTTTCCTATATTTTGATTGGAAATGACTTATAATTAGAATTGTGGCTGCAGAATTGTCTGTGGATCTTCTCAATGCTCAACTAAGAGTTGTATTTTAGTCTCAGTGTAGATAAAGATAATTTAACACATTTCCCAGAGAACATGGCTCCAGAAAATTGGCTCTTCAGGTTAAAATTTGGGAGTGGCTAGCATCTCAAACATCATGAGATAATGTCATATTTAAACTTTATGTAGCATTAGACTTTATACTTCTGTGATGTGGCATCGTTTTGCACGTCTGCCGCTCCAGCAGTCTGAAAGCACCACGTCAGACTACCGCTGCGTTACCTCGGTAAGAGTCATGTTACAGTGACGTACATGGAAGATGAACCATAACTCTCAGTAAGAATAATGTGTGGAAGAAAAGAAGAGATGACTACTTTGTATTTTCCTCTCGTTTTAACCTTATCCTGACACATCACGTTCAAACACACATGTGCACACACACACACACTCAGTCCATTGGTGCTTGACAGAGTTTGATTGAGCCAGACTTCCAGGGCATTGGCCGAACATACTCCAGGGACTGGTCAATGCAGTGGGATTGTTTACCCTTGACTGGCCTCACCAGCATGCATGTGTGCGTCTTACAGGATTGTGTGTGTGTGTGTGGTAAGTGAGTTACGAGCCATCAGGAGATGGAGAGGGGATCAAGAAGAATAGAAAAGTGGGTATTAAAGCGGTGCCATTTCATAGGGCTGCTGACTCTCAGGGACAAAAAGTGAGTGTTCCAAGGGGATTAAATGAGAAATGGCCAAGTGAAAAGGTCTGAAGCACAGTGGTGGAGTTTCCTGTGTGTCTTGTACAGATCAGTGCGCTCATGTCTCACAAATTTGTCTCCAGTTTGATTCTCGTAAGGTGCAGTACCACTATTGGATAAAACTTATTATGGCTAAAAGTGACTTCATGACATCCCCTAATTTCCCGTGTATTTTGCCCTGTGTAAGTCTCAGTTGGCCTATTTCCTCTGTGCCTCACTTTTTCAGCCATCAATCTGCTCCTACTCTCTCACCTATTATTCATGTTATTTCCATAACCGCACTTTATTTTAGAGGAAAGCTGAGATGTGGAGAGGATGGAGTCGGCTTCATTTACATGAGACGCATTTTGGTTTGTTTTGCTTTTAAAGTTCTCTCCTGAAAGCACCAGTGAGTGGCTTAAAAAGAAAACATGTTTTGCAGCACATAAGCAGGCCGACTGTTTCTGGATGTCAAGGACAATTACTACCAAAGGTTCTTTAACTAAATTAAAGCAAGTTGGAGTCAATTATCTTAGAAGTCGGTGATCCTCAAAGAAGACATTTTACCTCACATGGTTTGGGGTCCAGTGGAAAGATATCACAAGATATGTATGTCTTCTAAAATATTTTGAGAGGCGTATTTATCAACAGTAACAAAAACCTAGAACATGACTTACCGTGTCCTTTTTTCCAGAGAGTTAGAGAGAGAAAATCTGCATTGATCATGAAATACACTCATTGCAAAATTTCTAAATGACAACGCCTGAAAACTGAGATGAAAATTTGTGCCAAAATTAACATTTGATCAGACGGAGATGACTGTGGCGGGACTTGGCCGGAATCTTCAGTGTTTTGGCTTCAACACTTTACTTTCTGCCATCTGGTTCTCCTGAAGTGAGAAACATTTGGTCCAGAATTCCAATCAGAACCATAAAACTAAAACCAAAAAACCCCCCAGAATATAATGTTTTCACAGTATTGATTATGTACAATTATCAACGTTTCAGGTTTTTCGGCAGCATCCAGCACATTCCAATGATTCCAGTGATTAAATCTGAGAATCAAAAAAATCATAAGTTGTGTTTACTGATCATGTTTTAAAGGTCCAGTGTGTAGGATTTAGGTGAAAGGGATCTATTGGCAGAATATAAAATAATCCCAGTGATGTTTTCACTCGTGTTTTTCATCTTAATTTTCTGAATTGTTGTTTGTTTTATCCTAGAATCAGCCCTTTATATCTAAATACTTTATATTCACATCAGCAGCAGGTCCTCTACGCAGGCCGCCATGCTTTTTTTTTTTTTTAAGGTTTCCACAGGTTCTCTACATGTTTGGAAGAGGAGGGTGAGGTGAGGGGTATTCAGCTGCAACATGCAACCTCACCACTAGATGTCACTACATTCTACACACTGAACCTTTAAAATCAATGAAAAGAGCCAGGATTGACGTTGGCACCCCCCCTCCCTTGTTTTCTTCCCAGCAGCGTCTGCTCGAGCTCCTCCAATGTAACTCCTGCTAGTGTGGTGCTGCTCTCGACCTCCTTCTCCACTCTTCCTCCTCCTCCTCCTCTTCTTTCTCCTCTTCCTTCCTTCACACAGCTGATGCCCAGGTACACTGGCATGCCTGCACTCCCCTCCTCCACAATCCCCCTCACTCTCCTCACTTTTTTTTTTTACCCCAGTTGTCTTGCCATCTCTCCTCCCGTGGTTTCCTTTCTCCTTTTTCCAGCTTTGCTCAAACCAAGAGAATCATTAGAAGCCGAAACCACGTCTCCTTATTCTCTTTTTGTCAAGCCGTTTGGCCGGATCCTTAATTCATACCCAACGATAAGCAACCCACCAAAAAGAACTACTTTGCATCTGCTGCTTCATTTTTGTCACATATGTGACATTTCCAAAGCAGTAATGGAAGTCATGGGACTTTGCCTTTGTGCAGCCCTGCCAATTATTCTTCCTTTTCCTTATTTCCTTTCTCCACAGCTGAGTTTCCCTCCTCGTCTACTTGCTTCCTTCATATCACTCCATTTGTCTCCTTAAATTTGTTATTTCACTACTCCTGCTTGACGCTTTGCTCATTTGCCTCTTGTCAGTCCCTTAACTCCTCCTGCGCCATGTCTTCGCTGCAGTTTTCCATCACTGCCTTGCTTCCTTAATCTGCAGCATCCGTTCGTATCCTGCACTCCACGCTACCATCCCCTCTTTCTTTCTCTCCTTGCTTCTTCCTGACCGTGTACTTTATGGGCTACGCTGTGTGCCTCTTCAACTGTTTCCTCTTCCGTGCATACCCTTCTGCCCAATTATCCTCTTATCCACAACCTCATATTTTCTTGTCACTTCCTTTGCGTCTCCATCTTCCAGCTTCCTTACATTTATTCTCAGTGATTTATCTCCTCTTTTGCCCTCAACCCCTTTGACATGTTCCCATTTGCTCCCTTACCTCTCCTTTCCCCTTACGCCTGTTGCATCTTGTTTCTCTTGGTACCACCATGCCCTCCATCCTCATCTCCCTCCCGTTCCCTCCCTCTCTGCTGTGCTCCCTTATCTATTAATTCCCGTCTCCTCTCCCCTGTCTGGTATCTCCAGCCCTTAGGAGCTGTGCTGCATGTGTCTGCTGGTGTGTTTTGACAGACAGGGTCCTGACCTTGTCTCAGACCCTGCTGCTGCACAGGCTGTGGGATGTGTCAGCCTCACATCTCCCCGCACAAACACTCACAGGGACATACACATGCAAAATAACACAGTCCTGTAAACGCATGCACGCAGAATTTGCACGCGCACACATCTGCAAAAATGCCACGCGCACGTGTAGCACGTGAAGAGGTGAAACGCGAGCGCCGAGCTGCACACATTGGATGCGAGTCCGTCGGGCTCTCTGTGAACTCGCTCACAGCTTTGCACCGATTCTGTGTGAAGTGCTGATGTGTTCTGACATTCACATTAACACACGGCTCCCTGAGCTGATATGTTTCACTCTAACACACAAATGCAGACACACACTCAGGTCTACAGACACCTGCATGATGGATTCTTCTATGTAGAATCTGTGCACCTCAGTGTCCTCAAGTCGTAGCTTGGCTCGTAGCAATTGTCGCCTCTTGACGGCCATGATTGAAAACCTGACAACCTGCATCTGGTTCCATGATGATATTAACACGTGTACTATATGTAAATCACATAAATGCTGCTGCACAACCTCGTATTTTCATATTCTGTATAACATTTAGGTTATAATCAGAATATCTTCTATCAGCACCTCGTTTTTTAGAAGAACCTTTGATCTACAATAGATTTTACTATCAATACTTTCTTTACTTCCTTGACTCATCATCTTGTATCATCCTGTTTCTCATCCCTCCCTCTTATCCAAGAAAGCACAGAATATCCCTCGTAACTTTTACATTTTTCACTTGCAGTGTGTGTGTGTGTGTGTGTGTTCACATTTTCCTATGGATTTTGCCAATGTGAGCCTAAAAGACCCAAAGTTCTCTTCTAAGCTCAAAAGCCATCAGCAGTCGGGTCGTCCTCTCTCCTGTCTCGACCCCCTGTGGTGGCAAGGACTGAGAGACACCAATGTGTGCATGTGCAGTATGTGTAGCCAGTACAGTTGCCAGTGTGTGTGCGCACATGTGTCCACCCCCTCCAAGAAATCCCCCATCAGGGTGAAACAACAATAGCATATCTATTCCAAGCAGATCAGCGTGTGTTCCTGCGACTCGCTCGGTCGAATCAGGCAGGATTTCTACTTATTCAGCCTCAGATCCTCGTGTTGCTCATGAGTGCCGTCGCGTCAGGGGCCTTTGCTCTGTGTCTTTTCCATCTCCATTGTCAATACTCTTGTCTTAGTGCGCTCTCATCACTTATTGCACATCCTGTATAACCTTTTACGTTGCAAGATAAACAGCATCTGATGCTTGTGTATTTGTTTGTTTGTGTCTGGCAGGGATTAAAAAAAACCCTGAGTGATGATGATCTTTATTTCTCTTCTAGACAATGTGGCTACAGCAAAGCTTCTCAAGAGGGAGACGAGGAACTTTACTTCCAGTGTAAGTGACGACGCTGATCTCTATTAAATCACAGATTTGTGTGTTTGTGTGTAAAGTGTGTTCGTCCATGTTCAATCAATGCTCACAGGGGGCGAGGAACTATCAATAAATGCTTTGTATTTTCCTTTTCCATGTGCATGAATGCATGCAACACGCGTGTGCATCAAGATGACTTTTTGAGGCATTAGTCAGTGTCATGGCATTAATTCTTAATTCTGAGTGCATGCTTAGCCGGCTCTGAGCACACTGACACACTCCATTAGGTGGTGTGTGCGGCTGAGTTTGATGGAGAGAGATTGAAATCCAGAGGAGGGACACATAAAGATCTAGAGGAGGGGGGAGGGGGATAAGGAAAAAGAAAAGGGAGTAAAAGTCAGGAAGCAGCAGCAGCAGCAGCAGCAGCAGCAGTGATCATCCTCCCAAAAGGCGACGTTAAATGTTGTTGTTGCACATGATGTTGTACAAGATTGTAAATGCTGCTTTTTTTAAACTCCGCTCACAAAGCCCTCAATGGGCTTTTTGTTTGACAGTGACAGAATGGAAGTAGTTTGACATATCTCTGCTTGTTTTGTGCGTGCCAGTGCTCCACTAATATGGTGCACGAGTGTGTGTGAGAGAGTGAGAGTGAGTGGGGGGTGGGGTGGGGGACATGCGTGTGCGTGCTCATTTGCGTTGTTTAATCTCCCAGCATGCTGAGCCCTCTGGAGAGGTTTGGAGCACTATGCCTGATGAATAATGAGCTAAAGCCACGCGGCTTGGAATTAAATCTGCCCAAACATAGACATGCCAACAGCTGACAAGCACGCAATACATACAAACACACACACACACACACACACACACACACACACACGGACAGGTATTTTTGGCCTGTTTCTCAAACACATGAACAGACACTTCTTTTGTTCTCTTTATCTGCACACGCTCTCTCTTGAGTCCACTTCCTGTTCTGTGACGGTGAACTCGGTGCAACACACTGTCATTGGGCTGCAGGTGTA